TCGGCTTCCCCGTGCCCAGCCATCTTCTGCAATCCTGGTGCTCACCCAACACCCAGGGCTGTGCCATTAATAGCTGGCCATGAAGCGCTGGCCACAACCCGGCCTGCCCAGGACATCAGCTGCTCAGCGCCAGCCCCTGGGACAGCCCAAGGAGAACCTCCCACTGTTCTGAGGGGGCTCCCTCAGTGTCCCTTCCCCCGCAGTTCGGGACAGAAGACTTTCATCCTTTGCTCAGTCTGCCGAGCTGGGCAGGCCCTTGCTCCTCTCCCTCACTCCCACGGCAACTCTGAGCACCATCCCCATGCCCAGGGCTGCTCCAGGGCCTGACTGCCCCAGGGCACGGACGACAGTTTAGCAGATGGTCCCGATTTCACCTCCATGTTGGACTCCCTCTTCCCCTAGCCAGGGCCAGGGTGTAACAGGGCACCCATCCTGTGGCAGCTTCCCCCAGGACAGTGATTTCCATGATACAAACAGCCCGGCTTCACCCTAGGAGTGTGTTCTGGTTGCTGCCACTGCCCCAGGGGCTCAGCAGCCTGCTCCCATCTCTGGCCCATTAAATGTCACATCCAGAAGCTAATAACTCAAGGGACTGCTTAGCAAGGCCTGAAAACAGAGCTATCCCCAGCGCCCCTTCCCCAAATCCTGGCTTGAACAATAGAAAACATCCAAGGGGCTGGGCAGGAAAGAGAAGAGTCAGAGACACAGGAAAACTAATTAGTTCCTGAGAGCTGGCCAAGAGAGAGAGCTGTCCCTCCTGTTGATGGGAAACAGGAGCTGAAAGCAGGAGCAGAAAGTGACCCGTTGTCTACTTCCCACCTCTGTTAGAGGAAGAAACAAGCAGAAGCCTGGAGAAATTCAAGGTTGGGAAGACCAGCAGAGAAGTGCCCGTCCCGGTATCCCTGGAGGACAGGTAGTCTTACACCTCACAGATGGGAAGCCCCTTCATCTTTTCAGGATGCCCCATCCTGCAGGTAAGAAAAGGAGGCAGAGAAGTTGGCCGGTTTGCCCACAATGACACAGCCAGGGACATGCAGCGATTATGGTCAGGCCCACTAGGACCTCTCGCACGTCCCCCGAGAACGGGCCGTGTCCCTGTGTACACACTGAGCACAGAGGACGCGCTCTGCAAAGGTTCCCTGACAGGACACAGCACATTCATTCACCACGAGCCGTCACCCTTGTGAGTCACATCTTGCCCAGCCCTCAGCCAGGGCCACGGCGAGGGACAGGCTGTCACCCAGACGCTGACCTCAGTGGGAAGGACAGCAAGCTCTGCTGGATGGTGCTGCTGGAAGCTGCTGGGGGTGGCGGTGACCAAAGTGCCGGGTGTGCAATGTAAACAGTCGGTAATTGCTCCCTGCTGCTGGCTCAGACCAAAGCCAGACAGCTGGGACAGATAAGAGGGAGGAGCCTTAACCGAGCGAGGATGGCAGGCCAAAAAACCAGGCTTTTTCCGATTTGCTTTCAAGTTCTTTATCCTTTTGCATTGATTACATTTTCTTTCTTTACCTCCCTCCCTTCCTTCTCTCTCTCTCTCTCTCTCTGTCTCTCTCTCTGTCTCTCTCTCTGTCTCTCTCTGGGATTACAGTTGTGCACCCCTATACCTGGCAGTATCTATTTACTTTTCAAATATAAAGAAAAGGAAGCGTTTCACTCACAACAGGAGTGCAGGTCAGGCAGCATCAAGGGCTTTCATGGTGCTTCTCCAACAGCCTGAGGTGTAGTGCACGGGCAGCTTCCAGCTTCGCCTGAGAGCAGCCTACCCCAGCCTCCTGAGGAGAAACCTGGAGCTCTCTTCCCTCTCTCCCTCCTCCATGTTGAATAAATTACAGAGCCTCTATGATTTAACCTCCTAAACATTTTTTGGCAGAGTCCCACTGTGCATTATTAGCCAGACCCAGTTTCTGTTCGCCTGCTCTCTCAGCAGGACTATGTTTTCCAGCCTTCCTCAGGTCAGGTGGGGCCCATGCCTCTGGTCTGGGTGCCAAGCATGTACTGGCTGTCCCAGACCTGACCCCAAATCCCCGTTTCTTCTTCTGCTGGGCTCTGCAGAGAACTAGCAGGGGCTTCCAGGCCCTAGGGAACAGTGGAACTCCAACCTGGACCATCCCTATGTGGGAGTGTAGAGCTGAGCCCTCCTCCCCACCCCAGGGCCCTCACTCTGGCCTGGGGTAGGGTTAGGAAACAAACTCTTAATGTGTCATGCCACTCTGATTTGAGATTGTTTCTTAGAACAACTGCAGCTACCTTAATTATGTTTTGGTACCAGGGATCAAACTCAGGACCTTGCGCTTACAAGGCAGGCATGGCACCACTGAGTTAAATCCCCGGTCCTACTGAGCTTAATTTATCTTCTCATTCCTTTCCACACCTAATGTGCCTGTTACTAATTTTCTAAAGAGAGGCTGTGTCCTCCGCAACCTTTATCTGCACCTTCATTCTCACACCTTAGCTGCTCAGGCAGAGGGAGCTTCTGTATTGTCTTTCCCATTGCTGAACATAACCTACACCCAAACTTAGAGGAGAAATTTTCCTAGGCTCATGGTTTCAAGGGATTCAGTCAATGGTAGGCCAGCCCCAAGGCAGAAATATCAGAGCTGAAGGGCACGGTAGAGCAAAGTAGCTTAGTTCATGGTAGTTGGGAAGCAAAGCAGAGAGAACTAGTGCCAGAGAGGAAGGGACAGGGACTGGTTACAAACCTGAAAGCCTCATCTCCATGACCTACCTAGACAGAGCTCCACTAACCCTCTCCAGTGCTGGTGAATCTGTGGCACATGTGCCAGCAGTGGGCTGTTGGTTATCATCCAAAACTCTAAAGGTTTGCCCTCACTCCTCTAGGCAGATCCCAAAACCAATCAAGTTGGCATCCTGCCCTAGCCACCAGTTTCTAGAGACATACCCCTTGGTGTAAGCCTTTAAATGGAGCCACCAAAGTGCTGTGACATGATGACCAGTCTTCCCATGTCTGCCCAATGTCCCCCACCTCATATTTCTGCTGCCAGGCATGGGTTCTAGCCATGAGTGGACGTGGGGGCTGACACCGGGAAATCCGCACAGCTCAGCATGGATGTGCCAGAGCACTGGGCCATCGTGCAAGTCCACTGTCTCTGGATCTCTTATAACTGGACAAAGGTGGGCTCCCATTTCCACTGACACCTGTTTTTGTAGTAGGTTGAGCGCTGTCCCCCTGAATCCACATCCATCCAGAACTCTGAACAGGATCTTGTTTGGAAATGCCGCCTCTGCAGCTGTAATTAGGGACCTGGAGATGAAGACATCCTGGATTCAGGATGTGCCCTAAATCCAGTGACTGTCATCCTCCTGAGGAGAAGAGAGGACACAGTGAGATGCACAGGGAGAGTGAGATGTGAGGACAGAGGAGAGGCTGGGGCAGCACAGCCCCAGTCATCCGGCCCTGCGTCCCACAGCCCTTTCAGTGCAATCGCAGCTGCTTCTGTCAGAAGCTGGAGGCGATTTCCACAGCCCGGATTATGTCAAGGCCCCGCCTCTCACTTCGGCTCAGAGAATGGCAAAGAAGAGATGGAGCGCCAGCTCTGAGCCTGTGTGGTTACTTGCTCTTGAAACCCTGTTCAGCCACACTGATGACAAGCTGGGGCTAGCCCACAGGCCAGTGAAAGCTAATGCCCCAGCTGCCAGCCACCCCGGAGGCGGCCACCCAGGGCCGCCTGCAGCAGGACCGGCTGGGTCCCACCCTGAGCCACAGAACCACTCATTTAAGCTATGGAGCCTGGGGGTGGCTTGTGCCAGCAGTAGCTGACTAATCTATATGCACTTACACTTCGAGTTTTTCAGTTACTTATATTGCCTACTGAGCACCTGTGAACAATTAAGTTTGGGAACCCTATGTAGGGGGAGGTGTTCAAACTTCACTTTTTTAAGAATTTCTCGGGGGATTTTGTTAAACTGGAGATCCCTGGGCTTACTCCTAGAGTCTCAGTACTAGACTGGGTGAGTGCCAGGCATCCATAATGTGGCCAGCATCGCTGTCCTGGCTTGGATGCGCCACTGAGTTCACTTTGTAAACTATCTTTTTATGGGAACAGATCATGGAAACCATTGTGTAATCTCTAACATTATCCCTCCTCCGAATCGAGAGAGAGAGGCAGAGAGAGAGAGAGAGAGAGAGAGAGAGAGAGAGAGAGAGAGAGAGAACTACAAAGGGAACGTGCTAGGCTTCCCTGTGGAAAACACTAAGCAAACAGAAAGACCTTTCATTCCCACAGTCTCCAAGATCACATTTTACTGTCAGTATTGTTTCTTGATTTGCATCTTAATTCATAAATAACAAAATCCTGGTTCTAATTACAAACTGTTGTCTGGTGGCTGATGAATCAAGGGGGTTAGTGAGAGGCAATCAGCGGACAGCATGAGGCAGTAGGAAGAAGGGGCAGGTGTTGGAAGAAGCCAACAGTGATGACCTGTGTGACAGGTCCTGCATGCTGGCAAGGGTGCCGTCCCAGGCCGTGCTCCGGGGCCAGTCAGCTCTTAGTCACTCGCCACTGTTTTCCAGATGGTCCTGGAGCACCGTGGTGGAGCAAAGGGCACAGATTCCTCTCCTGGGGAACATTCTGGGTGGCAGGGGAAACACAGATGACACATAGAGGAAGGTGCAGGGGGTGGCGTTTTATCCCCCTGAAAGACGTCAGCGAGTGTGACCTTATTTGGAAACAAAGTCATTGCAGATGTTCCCTGGTTAGGACACGGTCACCAAGCTCTGTCCTCATCCAACATAACTGGTGTCAGTCACGGGAGGGCACCGTGCGATGTCAGGAACAGAGGCCGAGGGATGTGTCCGGAAACCAAGGGCTGCCATGGTTTGCTGGCAACTCCAGAGGCTAAGAAGAGTATGGAGCAGAGCAGTGGTGGCCAACCTATGGAGGGAGAATAGGGACGTGGATAGCAGAGTCTGCAGTTGATTGAGCCCCTTGGAAACCACCGACGTGTGAGAAAGAGAAGGAACGCAGCCGTGTGGGGTCTAGAGAAGGAGCACATCACACAGCTATGGCGGCATGTGCTAACGCTCTGGGGCAGCGGTGCCTGCCATGCTTGTGGGGAAGGAAGGAGAGAGGCGGCAGCACAGGGACTTGCAGGTCACAGTGAAGCTTTTACTATTTTGCCAAGCAAGCAAGTCACTGGAGGGTTCTGAGCCAAGGCTGATGTGATCTGATTTTTATAGTCATACGTTTTTCTCTTTTTAAGGATCTCGCAGGCTGCTGAGTGGTGCAGATGTAGAGGGGTAAAATACTGGCGTGTGAGAAACCCGCTGGTAGGCGCTGTTTTAAAACAGGCTAGGAGTGCAGTGTGGAGAGGGTACCATTTCGGTTTGGGGTGCTTCTGGCAGAGCAGCCAGGTATGACTTTGAGTTTTGGCTTCAACCATTGGAGCAGAGAGTTCAAGAGTAACAGCTGTTTAACTTGTTTGTGATTTTCCGTAGTTTATTGAGCATGCATATTCCAATCCTTGGTCATAATTTCCGTGCATACAGTATACAGGTGCTTAAAAACCGTCTGTGCCGAGACGTCTGATTTTTTGTTAACACCGCTTGCCAAGGCCTCGGTTGCAATGCATCCATTTTTCACGCTAATGCCGTGCCCGCGGTTGCGTCTGCTCATCTGAGATGTAGACCACGAGGACAGCTTTTAATACGCCCTGCTCTGTTTTGCTTAAAAAGAACAGGATTGTGCCCTGGGGGCCCGAGGCTGGCACAGACAGAGCTGTGGGCAGGCCAAATGCACACAGGGGTGCCGCATCGGCCCATGTGGCCAGCACCTCTGGGCCCTGTGGATCCTGCGGCTGTCTGGGTTCCTGGGCTGGTCCTCTGGGACGGACACTGCCCAACAGTCATGGGGAAGCTCAACTGGGCACTGACTCTGGAGCTCACCTCACTTTTGTACAGAAAGAGGAAACAGAGGGCCTGCATGGAGAAGACTCCACCACGCCACTGTCCTGAAGTGTCATTGGCCACCTAGATTTAGACTCTTAGCTTCATTTGCCTGTGGCTGACCAGATATTTTGGTGAAGAGAGGAAAAAAGATCTTTTGCAAAGCTAGCTCTGAGGAGACAGAGGGCCCATATGCCTCAAATCACCATCTCACCTTGTACAGGTGGGTAAGGGTCCTTTTCCTAAGGAAGAGCAGGGCAGGTGGCACGGGGACACACCGCAGATGTGCACACTTGCTCTAACATTTGCAATCATCTTGGCGGTTCATCTTTCTTGTAGGAAGGAACTCAGCCTCTGGCCTCCGGTGGCATCTTCACATTCCATCACTTCTTGGGCTGGGGAGAGGCTAGGGTGTTGCTTGTACGCTAAGTAGGAGGAATTGTGGAGCACTTCATTATCACTACAAGAAAAAGAAGTCTACCTTTCAGGTTCCATTTTGCAGCGCTAGTTTCAATTTCCCCCTTGCTTTTTCCCGCCCTCAGTCTTGAGGGCCCTGAGGTGCCGTCATCAGGCTGGCTGGCCCACCCTGGATGCCTACATAGATTCCATAAAGGTAGCTGAAGCACAAACGAAGGGAAGCTGGATGCTTGAGCCAGGAAAAGCCTCACAAAACATTGTGATGTCAAATGTGGACCAAAGCCAAAGCCAAGAGAGAGCCAACCGTTACACCCGCTAGAAGGAGGGCCTTTCTGCTTTTGGACAGTTATGCGTGAGATACCATTTTACAGACTCTGCAGCTCCACTGATTTTGGGGGGCTGACATAGGTGACTCTTTGGTGCTCACAGCTCTCCCCTCTTTCTCTTTTCTGAAGCCTTTGCACATTAGCCACCTGTGGCCTCGTCCCTGGGTGCCAGGCAGCTTCACAGGTGATGGTGTCAGAACATGGAGGGGCTTTGACAGGGGGTTGAGTCAGTGTCATAAGCCCTGGAGGCCAAATTTGAGCAATATCAAAGTTGGAACAAGTGGCTCTCAGACCATTCATCTGGCCCAATGGTGGTGAACCTGTGAGCACGCACAGCAGGCTCTGTACTGCTGAAACGTCAACAGGGTTCACCATCACAGAACTAGAGTCCCTCTGAAGTTTAGTCCCACAACATTTGAAATTTGTTTGTTTGTTTGACACAGGGTCGTGCTATGTAGCTCAGGCTGACCTTGAACTCATTGTGCAGTCCAGGCTGGCCTTGAACTTGTGGCAATCCTGCTGCCTCAGCCTCCAAGTGCTGGGCTTACAGGCATATACTACTATACCTGGCAAAACATGTGAACTTTGACAGTTACAAAGCTTACAGGCAAAACCTAAAACAAGCCAATAAGAGCAAAGTAAATCCAGTCTGTACAGTAGACTGGAACTAAAAGAGCCAATATTCTGTGAAATGAGCTCAGTTCTGCCAGAAACATGTAGTGAGCACACATCCGAGGGCCCCTATCCCCGTAGACCAGTGTGAATCAGCATTTGAAGAAAGCACACAACTTGCTAATGGCCAACACCAACGTGTGTAGTTCAGTCACACCTTTAGGATTTTTTTGACACACACAGAACTGTAAACATTTCTGAATACAGCATACAAAAAGTCATCTGTTTTATCAACTAAGAACATGCACGTCTGAGCAAGGACATCTCCTATCTTCCATGAGGAGCACGACTTTTGTCAGCTATATGACTACAAGCGACGCACAGGGTACTAATTTAGCAAAGCCATTCATTTTTACAGCATTCTAAGACAATAATCAAGACTGCATTATACCAGCATAATTACATTTTAAGTAAGGAAAATCATATAATAGTAGTTTATGTGACTAGAATTGTAAGACAAAACTTTAAACAGATATCTAAGTAATATGAACTTCCAAGAGTTAAACTTCCTAAAAATTTATCATAGCAAGTCAGTAGACAACATAAGAAATTATTTTGACAAATTTGAAATCTCCTTTTAAAAAAGTTTTGCTGTAAATTTTACTAAGAACAGATCAATCTCGTAAGTCTTATTGTTTTAAACAGAGACTAATATTATCTCTATGAATTACATTTGAGTTCTTTTAAAAATATTTTTCTTTGGGCTGGGGATTTAGCTCAGTGGTTCCACCACCTGCCTCGCAAATGCAAGGACCTGAGTTTGATCCCCGGTACCAAAAAATAAATAAAAATAAAATAATTTTTTTTCTTACAATAAACTATTTAGAATCTAATTAGAAATGTTTTACTCAAAAATTATCCTGATTAATTTACAAAAGACTTATCTTTATTTTGTTACAAAAGTATGCCACCCCATATAAGCTACCAGAACTTTTAAGACTTGTGTTAACTCATCTTTGTGTCCCAAACTGTGTCATACATAGACATAAGCACTGTATATATAGAAAAGAACATATACTTGAGGTAAGAAAAACCCAAAATATTTGTTTCTGACCCATTTAAGATTTTCTATAAAAACAGTGATTTAAAAAACCAATTTTGAGTACTTAATTTAAGCAAGGATGAGGCAGTAAAACAATAGTAGTTTATCTATTACAAAGAAGCAAGCATGCATGTTAGCGTCTTTTAAAACTTTTAACAGACCAGTCAGTCATAATAACTCTTTTTTTTTAATTGAGTTTATTGGTACATTTTAGGGATACAGTACAGTTACATTCATTGTTGGGATCTTGTACCTCTACATGATAGGTCTTGGTTCTCATTTTTGTCCTTTGTTCCTGCCCTCCCTTCACCCCGTCCTCCCCTCCCCATTTACAAACACTTTATTTCCATCTTTGCATTTTCTCACATTTTTTTCTTTTCCCTTATTACCCTTCCCCTACCCATCCCACCTTCCCTACACCTTTAGCCCTTTTCTTCCCATTTCACAATGTCAGTTATCTCATTAGGATCTTATGTAGTAACTCTTAATAGCAAAGGAATTTTTCTTAAGGCCAACTCTTACTTTAGGATATCTTAAAATGACAAACAGATACAACTGTCAATCACCAAGATTTACTATTTAAAGCTCATTTTTAACAAGACCAATAGTTTGACAAAAGTTGCTATTTTTAGACACTTGTTGTCTAGCTAGAAGTTATTTAAACTTGTTAAAGGATTAGACACCTTTTGATTTTATATCAGTGTTGTATACATATATCAAAAATCTATAAAATACATTTAATAGATCCAAAACACCATTTAAAAATTTTAAGAAGCCAAGAGTACATGAATTTATGCTTAGAAAATGTCTAATATTTTAACTTAATCATGAGTAGCTCAGATGTTTTATTTAAAAATCCATCTAATTTAATTTTTATTACCTGTATATTGTACACAAAATATAAAACATTTGAAACACACAGGTTAACACTGCCAATTTTTTGTTCAGGAAAAACAACTCTTAAAAGTTGTAGCCAGTACCTGGGAATTGTATCTACTCATGCTACAACAGAATGCTACTTTAAAAATCTTTCAGAGGCAGTTGTGATTTAGCTCAGTGGTTCCACTGCCTGCCTTGTAAGTCCAAGGGCTGAGTTCGATCCTCTGTACAAAAACAAAAACTTTCAGAGGTTTTCTGGGAATTTGGAATTTGAATATTTACACCGACCCCAATGAATTATTTTCTAACCACAGTGTCATGTCACCAAAAGCAATCTATCCCAGATAATAACGTTGTCCATGTACTAATCCACTGGGCAGACTACAGCCAAAGCTTTACTAGTTATGGTCATTTAAGACGGCAAGGCTTAGAAGACCTAGAAAGATCCACAAACCACGGGGGAAAGTGGTGTCACATCAGTGTCTCCTGGTTTGTCATTTCTGAGTTGTGGCAGTTATTACCCATGTGAACGTGGATCCAGCATTTTACAAATTTAAGAAGTATGGCAAGGCTGGACTGTGTACACTCAGACACAGGTTAATGCGCAAGACAAAGCGTCTATTTCTTCTAGACTTAGTGTGGAAGCCTTCAAGAGGAACAGCCATTTTTGCTATCAACCATTAGTCTTTTAACCAATGTCTACTAAAATTTTGCCTCCTAGGACCCTTTCTACTCCTGGAAGCAGCCTTTATAGAAACTAATACTACCTAAGATTTCCTGAGAAGCAAAACAATTTAACTTTTAAATTGAAAAAAAGTCCAGCCGTACTATATTAATATGTGTCATATTTTCTCAATGTGTAACTGACTTTTGATTCCCACGTGTCTTTAAGACCTTAACAAACTCAAAAATGTTAATTATACAGTAAATCCTCTACTTCCAAACACAGGAGCGGACCTCACATTACGAACCTTCGCAGATACGAACAAATCGCAGCAGTAGCTCGCCAGTCTGGGGGACACGGTCGCAGCTGTGCCTTCTGTCCAGCGCGACGGTGCCCAGCGGTACGGACTCAGCCAGAGCCCGGAGATCCAGAAGCAGGAGGAGGAGCGGTGGTGCCCGGAGGGCGCTGCTGGGAAGCGTGAAGCAGTCGGCGCTGTGCATTTGTCGCGCTGTGTATTTGAGCCAAAGGTGTGCGAGGCTCGCTTTGCCGGGCTTAGCAATGAACCTACTTAGGGACGGTCTTCCAGAACGGAGCTCGTTTGTAAATCAAAAACTTACTGTATTGAATTTATGCTCTTTGATCTTTTTATAACCTGTGTAAAACTGAAACTTTTCCATAAATTAAGAACCTAAAATATAATTCTGATTGACTAACACAGGCGAGGTGCATGTTAACAGTTTTGAGGACATCTTTGTTATATCTTTCAAGACATTTTGTTGTCACGTGAGCAAAAAGGCATTTGGGTTTATACTTGCTTAATTATTGAGTGTTTTTATTTTTAGGTTAATCTGGTACTACCTAAACGATATACAATATTATACGCAATACACACATGTGCCCCCTCAACACAAAAAACAAAGACATATTTATCATTTACCAGCTTTTAAAAACTTACACTATAGGCATGATTTTTTTTAATAGTCCTAAGCAATACCCAAATCCTAACTGCATGCCTGAAGGTAGGATTTCTGGTTGTAGCAAGGTGAGAAATGTACATCTTCTTGCCCATTTAATCTGAGTTTGAATTTCTTGCAGGCTTTTTCTTTTTTCTGCCTTGTTATATGTCTTAGTCAATTTAAAAGCTAATGCCATCGATTTTAAGACATTTTTCATTGTGTTAAAATTTAAACATAGCTGGTCAGAAGTTTATATATCTTATTCTGGCTTTACTGTTCAAGACTTTTGTTGTTGTTGTTGTTGTTTTTTGTTTTTTTCTTGGTACTGGGGATTGAACTCGGGTCCTTGCGCTTGCAAGGCAGGCCACCGAACCACTGAGCTAAATCCCCGGCAAGACTTTTAATATGGAAAAACAAAACAAAACAAAAGCCAGTTTCGGAACAGTATTTCCCTCTAAGAAAAACAGATAAGCCATATGTAGACAAATTTCTCCATTTTTCTAGTTAAAGAATGGAAGAGGAAGAAGACAAAAATCAACTTTCAGTAAACAAGTTATGACAAATATTTTGAAACATAACCAGTTTAAAATGAATAAAGACTGTTAGCCAAAAGGAGGGGAAATTTTAACCATTAGGAAAGTAGCTGTGTGGTTATTTGTGTTTCTTACTAATCCAGAAAAGGGCACAGAAAGCAGTTATGGATAATTTCCTGACCAAAGTTACTCCAAAGAACCTCCTCAAGGACAGCTGTATAAATCAGAGTGCACTTTCATGGATACAGAGCATATTGTATCTCAATAAAATCACTTTTATCTAAGTCACAAGTAGCTAAAACTTTCCAGGGAGCTGCAAAGTAGGACACCCTTTTTTTTTTTTTTTTTTTTTTTTTTTTTTTTTTGGTACCAGGTACCAAACTCAGGACCTTGTGCTTGTGAGGCAGGCAGCAGAACCACTGAGCTAAATACCTGAACCTGTTTTTTCATTTTTTTTGACATACACTTTTATTTCTGGACAATTTACAACAGGGCTGCTCGAACACACCACCAGTATCTCTTATCTTAAAATTTCTTAATCCAAACTTTTTTGTCAACAAATAATTCAAGAACCTTGAACTCTGTACTGATTCACAAACAAGTCTCAGAATGGCTGAAGCCCCAAATGGCTTACATAATTCTAGGAAGTACTGAAACCCTGCTGCCTGTTGTAGAATAAAGGTGGTTCTAAGAAGCGAAAGACAGAAGAAGCACAAGCAAAGGAGAGCAAACCAAAACAAATGAGTATGTCAAACCAACAAAAGAAATATGCAGATGTTTTCCTACCCAGAATCTCTTCTTACACCAGTCCATGTCCCAAAATGACCTGGAATGGGTACAGATGCCCACACATATTGAAGGAGCTTGCTTCACCCTGAATGACACTGCCAACTAGTCAGTGCCCTAAAATGACCTATGATAGGTCCAAAATGGTGGAAGGATTTATCCCACCCAGATGAATGACCTAAGAATACCCAAATGGTGGGGGCAGTAGATCCCTGGAATGCACTTTCCAGTAGGTAACCAAGCAGAGCTCTTCAGCTTTTTTCCAAATACCCTTTTTCCTTTTACAACAAAAGTGTTTCTAGGAAGGTAATGCCATGAGCAGAAAAGGAAGGGGATTCCCAGATAAAGACTCTGTAGTAGGTTCCAGTCTCCTACTCAGTGTACGACACAGGGCTGAAGAAAGACTCAAAGACAGAATTAAAGAAACAGAGAAATCGGGAGCCAGGACAGCCAGTCTTGGGCAAACAGCAAAGGTCCTGGTCAGTCCAAGCCACTTATTTTTATTGATAACCAAGTTGGGGTAAAGGGGAACTACATGTGAGGATGTGTAGTCATGCAGTTGCTATGAACACTAATGCGGGTAAGGCAAGTAAAGGAAAAGATAAAGCATTCTTGAATTAGGAACCGAACAGACAAAATATAGGACTGTAATCAGAACCTTCTAGGTAGGGGTTTAGTTGTGGGAATGGAATTTGAGGGTGAGTATCTCTGACCTTGGCTACAGTGTTGTCTCATGATGAGCCCCGCAGACTCATGGCCATGTCTCTGTCTCTGCTGTGGACATTAGCGGAAACGTCATGCTGACCTGCAAGCTCCTGTGGTGCTTTTGAGGTGCCTCTCTGAGTCACATAGCTTCAGTCAGACTTGCTTCTTAAAATGAGCCAACTGTGGGGTTGGTTAAGCCTTTACAGCCTGCACTGCTTACAGCCTGCTGAGGGCATAATCAATAGGGTGGTCCTTACACCCAGATACAAAAGTTTCCTTGGCAGCTGCTGGTATTATGACAGCTAAGTTGAGTTAAAACATGATAGGCAGTCAGATAGGGGTAGGCCCTCAGGAAGTCAGTACAGAAGATAACACATTACAGTTGTGGCTAGAGGTGTCATCTGTTGAAGGCCAGGTCTCAAGATAAAGATGAAATGACCAGGCCTATATGCCTGAGAGATAAGCAATGACTTGAAAATTATGCTATCATTGATGTCACCTGGTCCATTGAAGTCTAGCCAGACATCAGTCACCCAGTTGTGTGACCATGACCTCCTGATCCACCCCTTCCTAAACAGGTCTTTGTCTTTCCATGTACACTTGCTACATGACCTGCTTTCCCCTTAGGTCACTATCACTTAAGCAGCTAGCTATCCTTGTAATCTTATTGTTGATCGTAGCTTTGACCTACATTGTACCCACCTTGTGATTTTGCTCTATAAAACTTCCTTTAAGCAATGGGGTCCATGGCAACCCAATTTCGGGTCCCCTCCTACCTCTCAGGAGCTATCTCTCTCAATAAATTTTCCTTACTCTTAACCTCCGTTGTTCCTTACAATTCATTCTTTTATTTTGGGGAACAAGAACTCGGCATATCTGACATCTAGCAGGTTGGGAGTTGTTATTTCCCCTGCATCCCTGGGATGTCTCCGGAGTCCTGACTACAGGTTCAGCTCATTGACAGCTGTCAGTCCATTTTCCCAAGTGCCTGCTGGGATGAATGGCTCTGAAGTGGCGGGATTTACTTTCTGGCTGACTCACCAAAATTATTACCTGCCTCTTAGGTTCATTTGCTTGCTGCTGACCAAATCAGAGGTCATATATTTTGGTTAAAAAGCCAAAAAGATATATACAAAGCTAGCTCCAAGGTGCAAGAAGAGCCTGTTTGCTTCAAATCACCATCTCCCCAGGACAGACTGGGCAGGGTGTAAGAAATGGTAAGAAATGGGATGCGTGGGGGAAGCACAGAGTAACAGTGCAGAGCTCCAGGCTTGCTTTATCATTTGCAGCCACCTTAAGCTCACTGACCCTTTTCTTGAGGAAAGGAAACTGGGCTCCATCCTCCTGGGGCTGCCATCTGCATATTCTGTCACTTCTTGGGCTGAGGACAGAGGGGGAGTTGGTTATGCGAGCAGCAAAGGAGAAACTGCTTAGCTCTACAAGACAAATAAATTAACTTTGCAAGTTCTCCTTTGCAGTAGTGGTTACAGTTCCTTCCCTGGAGCCCTGTCTTCAGCACTCAGGGGACGGAACTACCACCCAGCGTCCGTGGCCTGCATCTGTATGTAGGGAAACTTCCATTGGCGACAGCAGGGGTTATGCGCAAGCGCGGTGAGGCGAAGCAGCAGCCGGCACTCCGGCCCTAGCACGCTAGTACGCACGTTCAGCCTGCGCGCGGCAGCGTCGCCCTCCGGGCAGCCCAGCCTGGGTCCGGAATGGTCGCCGCTGCCTCTTTTAGCCCCGCCCAGTCGAGCCGCTTACGGAGCAACACAGCGCGCAGGCGCGGTAACCAAGGCGGTGCTATCTAGT